ATCCATTAGTGGCACCATCACAAATGAAAAGAGAATTTCTTCTGTTACATTTCTTTCAGTAAGTACTCAGAAATCAATGATGGAAGTTTATGGTGATGGGTGAAATTGTCGATGACGTTCTAGATATAATTACTCTTTATCTGTCTCAGGATTCTGTTCTTGCAGTGGCTGGAGATGAAGAAGCTGTGAGGTTTTTTGACTGTGATTCACTTGTATGCCTCTGTGAATTTAAAGCTCATGAAAACAGGTATTTTTTTACCAATTTCTGTGTGTGTATATGTAGAATCTTAATAAATGTTACGTATGCAGTAGTTTCGTAAATCAGAGTATGTGTTTTTGTGAACAAGTGCAGAAATAATAAAACATCTATATGTACAGTATATGATATCTGGAGTCTAAGAAGATGGTAGAAAATGTTACCTTCCGGGCCGTAGTAATGCAAAAGTGGTGAAATTGTGATCAGGACTAGTTCTTTATATAGGATATTTATTTTTTAAATAAGTCAGTTAGACTCGGGGCCTGCAATTAAGCATACTTGATCAAATAAAAGACTAAACAGTCTTGAGCTTTGTCCCTGGCCACTCTTGTCCTTTTACTTCATTCCCCTTGCCCACTTCTTCCCCCTTTCCACGTAATATTTTTTTTCCTGCAGGAGAAATGAAATGATATTATCGAATTCCTGTTTTGTGCCATTGTGTTACTGCGTTTCTGGGGGGTAGATAGTGAATCCCAGATTAAGTAATTAAGTGACTTGGCCTAGATCACCCCACTCTTAGGTGATGGAGCTGGGATCCAAATCCAGTTCTTTCTGACTCTTATATCTCTGCTTTTTCCACTATAATTTTGGAAAAGGTGATCTGGAAAAGGTACAGAGTTATATTTTAACATATCACATTTGCATGTTGTATGTCTCACATAAGTCTTAGTTCTTATTTTCTAAATGATGGTTAAGTTTTATGAAATCCATTTTTGTAAATACTCAAGAGTACGATAGTCAGTGTACAGCCTTACTTTTGACCTGTATTAGGAAGTAAACGCATTCTTCAAGGAAGGCTATTTTCGTTGTACTGATAAAACTTTGCATATCTGGCCATTTGTTCGTGTATTTATTCTGCAAGTATTTATTGAGCACCTGTTGTAAAAAAAATTAATAGTACAGTAGGTGTTTGATGAACAAAAAAGGCAAGAGCTTGTGTTTTTGTGGCTCTTATATTGTAGTGAGACAACAAGACAGTTTGTAAACAAGCAGATCATGGTAACGGGGTGGAAATAGAAAGGTATTGTGATTAAAGAGTAACCAAGGGTAATTGGTTTAGCTAGGATGATGAAGGAAGAAGGAGTGAAAGCCTAAGGATAAAAAAGGAGCTAATTCCAAAAAGAGAGAGCCATGGGCACCAAGGCCCTGAGGGAGGAAATAGCTTGGTGTATTTTAGGGACAGGTGGAAGACCTGTGTGACCAGATGAGAGTGAGCAAGGGAGAGGATGGTGGGGGCTAAGCAGTGCATGGCCTTGTGGGCCAATGGGAGGAGTTTAGATTTTATACTAGATTTTGTTTTCTTTACTTCTTATTGAAAAATTTAAACGCAGGCAGACCAGTTTAAGGACCCAGCCCTTACAGACCCATCACCAGCTTCAGCACCTGTCACTTGATGGCCAGTCTTGCTTCATCT